TTTATCTAACTGTCACATAGACAAAGTACTTCTATCTGGGATATATAAATAATTAAAAAGAAGACACCAAAATTCAAATCCAATCTAAAAATGGACATCTTAAATGAGTACATACTTCTCAGATGAAGAAAATGCCAATGGCAAATAAATATATAAAAAATGTTCAACATCATTGGTCATCAGAGAAATGAAAATTAAATCCATACCGAAATTTCATATCACCCCAGAAGATTGGCTATAATCAAGAAATCAATCAATAACAAATGCTGGTGGTGCTGTGGGGAAAAAGGAATACTTCTCCACTATTTCTGGGAGTGTACACTGGTACTACCACTGTGAAAATGAGTGTGGAGATTTCCTCAGAAAACTAGGATTAGAAGTCCCATTCAATCCAAAAATCTCCTAGATGTTTTGCCAAAAGAGCTGAAAATGTCATATCACAGTGATATTGTGGACCCATGTTTATAGCAGCACAATTTGTCATAGCTGCATTTTGGAAACAACCCAAATGTCCTTCACTTGAGGAATGGATAAAAAAGATGTGATATTTATATACAATGGAGTATTTCTGAGCTATAAAGAAAGACAAATTTGAGGCTTTTATATGTAAATGGATGCAACTAGAGGCAATACTTTTTTTTTCTTTTTCTTTTCTTTTTTCTTTTTTCTTTTTTTTTTGCAGAACCGTGCATTGAACTCAGGCCCTTGAGCTTGCCTGGGAAGTGCCTATTCTACTGAGCCATCTCCGCAGCTCCTAGCAGCTATAGTCTTAAGTAAAATAAATCAGACCCACATGTGTAAATGTCAGTATGTCTCCCTGGTGTAAGAACCTGAGAGGATAAATAAAATATTAAACATATAATAGATATAGTAAAATGCAAAGAAACTGAACACAAGAAATAAACAATTGAGAAAAGGGAAAGGAGAAACAATAGGAAAAGGAGGAAAAGGGAAAGAACAACTGGGATTGGGAAAAGGCGAAAAGAAGGAAGGAATGTATATAAGTAGCCACTATATTAGTAGTACAATGATAATTGTACTGCTAATTTCAATCTTACATGCCTATAGCTGGTAATCTTAGCAACTACTTTGAAGATAAAAATATGCAATATAATAACCATTGTTAATTTCCTATTATCTTGTTTTGAGATTTTATATACTTTTTGTTTTTTATTATCTTTAAAATAGACTATGATAAAATAATTTCATGTGAGGTCAGACCTCATCAAGAATGCTGCTAGGGTATATTTTCCCTTATGCTAGGCAAAGCATGATAGATTGTTCTCCTGTTTTCAGTCTGAAAGCCTGTCTGGTAGTTCACAGCCTTCTAACTGACCTGTGAATGGGTTTCCCTGGAGTTGGCTATGAGACTTGGCTACACTGTCCCTTTTGCAAACACTTTATAATTTTCTCAGTAGGTTTTTGTGCATGAGTTGATCATATAAATTGTGATTGTTTTTGCCTTTCTCCAAATTTGGGGACAAACATTTATCCCATGACGTCACTTCTCTAAAAGATCTAAAAACTTCTCCACTTTTTAGTCTATTTAGCTTTTCATATGTTGGGATTAAGTGACAAATTCTAATCTCCTCTCACTCCACACTAGACTGCTTTCAACTATTTTAAGGAAGTGTTTTCATTTGTTATATTTAAAGAACAAGTTAATGAAGTTTTTCAGAGAGCATAAATGGATAAGCTTTAAAAATCTTATTAAAGGAAAGAAGCCACTGAGTTATGTTAATATTTGTGTTTCTCTCTTACATGACTGTAAATAAAAATATATATTATTCTGGGTCATGAGGCGTACCACTACTCATTTAGAAAATTTCAATTGCTACCTGCTGCTCTTCATTTGTACTTAAAAATATGACTTGTGTGTAACTCAGAGGAGAAATAAAGATTCTTTTTGTTATCAAAATCTGCATTTTCTGTTAACTTTTTCACCTGTAGTGGTGAGGGTGCTGACATGGAGTGATTTATGAGGTTAGGAGATTAAACCTTTCCTAATAGGGAAAATTCAGCTTTTAGATTCTTAGTGGTGAATATTGCTGAAGGTGACCATTGAGCTGCTGTTATTAATAGAGCATAGTGATCATAATATATTTTTTTGGTGGAACCAGGGATCAAACTCAGGCCCTTGCGCTTGCCAGGCAAGCACTTATTCTACTGAGCTATCTCCCTGGCCCCAATCTTAATATTTTGAGTATTACATCAGAATATTCCTTTCATTTGGAAAACATTTGTAGTTGATACTCTCTCCTGTACTCTCCATTTATTGGGTGATGATTCCATAACTTCTAAAAAGAATTTATTTATTTGGTATAGTGCCTCACTAGGAAGCTCTGACTCATAGTGATCCTCCTGTTTTCAGCCTCCCCAGAGCTGGGATTACAGTCATGTGCCACCACGCCTGGACTCAGTCACCAGCTCAGCATGCCCCAGGGATGGGGCTGGTGCAGCATGCAGGAATGGGGATCGAACCCTGGTCCCTGCGCTTGCCAAAGCAGGCACTTTAGTCCACTGAGCTATCTCACCAGCCTGATTCCATAACTATTGTTTATAAAAAGTTTCTTGAAAAATAGCTTAATATTTTTGTTTTCAATTCATCTCCATACTGCAAATTTTTCATAAAAATATTTTCAGTTGAAATGCAACAAGTATCCATTCTGTTTCTATTAATTTACTATCTGCCAAAGGGCTTAATTTTGTTTTTATTTTTTTGTATTTCTCTCTTACATGACTGTAAATAAAAATATATATTATTCTGGGTCATGAGGCATAACTACCTTAATTCTGTTTCTATTAATTTACTATCTGCCAAAGGACACTTTTTTTTTTTTTTACTTTTCGAGGCTTTTGCAAATTCATCTTTAGTTATTTATAAGGATTTTATTCTCACTAAAAGTCTTGAAAAAATACCTTTTTCATAGAAACAATTTGTTTTATTTTCTAATTACAATAAGATCTCACAAGTCTCATTTATAATGAAGCATACATTATAGAATTTCAGTAGTTTTATTTTTTCAGTTATCCTGAAAGATTTTGCTACCTTATTACTGATTAATTAAAATAATTAAATATAATAATATAACCTTTAAAGGAGTGAAATGTATCATCATTGTTATGGTTTAGATAAAATGTGTCCCTCAAAAGTCCCCTGTGCTCAGAGTTGGGGCTTGTGGAAGGTTATTGGGGCAGGAGGGGCACTGTACTCATCAGTGATTGGATGCATTTGTTGAATCTATGGCTACAAATGCTGGAAAAGACCAATTTCCCCAGGTTTGCCTTTGTGCCTCTCTCCTACCCAGCTCCCCTTCTCTGAGCTTGTTGGCTACATTGGGGTGGACACCTGACTACCAAGCCCTTTCAACATGCTATTTATGCCTCCAGCCAGCCAGCCAACCATTTTCTCAGCCCACTGAAAATGCTAGCCTAATAAGCCTCTCTTTTTAAAGTTGTGCATCTAGCATATTTTGTTCTCATGACAGGAAAGTGACTATTAGAAGCAGTAAACAATTTTCCTAGTGTTCCAAAGGTTAGCACTCCCCTCACATCCACATACCTCAGAAAGTCTTTATTAGTTAAATGGGAATTACTAATTATTTATCTATCATTTTAGTAACTTTATTTACACGAGTTGTATTACTTAAATTTCCCAATAAAACAATAAGATAATAATTATTACCCCTTGTTGATTAATAAAGAAAATGAAGATCTGAGAACACAGACAGTTTTATATCTTACATCATCTAGTATAATAGCTTTATACTAAGTAATGCTTGATATACTTTAATGTATTACATTAATTTGGTCAGTAAGAGTGTGTATTTCAAATTCATGTATGTGTTTAGATAAAAATCAATGCACATTTATTACAAATTATAAATGATATTGAACACCTACTGAATATAAAATTTTATCCTTGCCGTGTGAAATATTCTAGTTTTACAGAAGTACTTTCATTTAGACATTTTAAAATATCCATAATATGAGGAGGAAATTTCTGTGGCCTGTCGTAACTATGTGTTAGCCAAAAGAACTGGGGATTTCTCCTAGTTAGAGGAATCTTTTGTAATGGTGGATTGTCTTGTTGATTCACCAGAAAAGAGAAAGTTTCTTCTAGGCAGAAAAACCATCTTAAGTGTGCAGATGGATATGGGACATACTTTACCTTTTGAAATATCCATAATATGAGGAGGAAATTTCTGTGGCTTAGGATAAGTAAGTATGCCTAGGATAGTCAACTCTTCCAGGTTTTAGACTGTATGTTAGTAATTTTGCCAAAATGTATGTTTTGCATGCAGAACAATATCTGGACATAATTTTCCACAAATCACTCACTAATTATTCTTTCTGTTTGTAAGTGTGCTAGTAGTATGAGAGAAGTTCTGATAGTCCTCGTTCTTAAGTCCTTATATCTTATGTGAGGCACTGTTCCTACATCAGTTGTCCCAAATAAACGCAGCAAACACATGTAAGGATTAGGAGCTTGTAATCAGGTGAGTTTGATGTGGCTACAGGACCTCAGTCAAGCTATTTTATCTTGTCTCCATTCTTCAGCTGTTAAATGAGGATGACCCTTGCAAAGACATCATGTATATTAAATGATACGTTGTTTATATAATGTTCTTAGCCCATGTCTAGCACATAGTAAATATGTCAGTGAAGATAGCTGGGATTTAAGTCCTGATCCTCTATAATCCAAAACCAGAAGCTGATCACAACCTAGAAGTCAGATATAGTTGATGCTAACCTGAGGAAGTATATTCAATCAATAAATTTAAGGAATGAGATTTATTAAGTAGCTGATGTGTGTGAATTCCCGGTATTATCACTTTTGAGTTACTTCGCTTGACTGACCTCTGGAAAGGTGAATTAATTGGCATTTCAAGTAAAGGAACTGCTAGAACAAAGTATATAAAAAATAGTTATATAACTGTGTTATTGTGAAAAGGACCATAGGTACTTTTATGAACCAGCCATATTTTATTCACTTACAGATAAATCCAAAGCAGATACCAAAGCTGCTGTGGTAGCCAAGAAAAGGGTAAGGTTATGTTTTATTATTATAAAATAAGTAAATTTTAAGTTCTGTTTAGTAATTCTAAAAATATTTAAAAACTTTTTTCTAAATGTTGAATATATTTTGAATTTTTTAATTGATACAAAATTAATTTATGATTAGTGTTACAGAATTAAACAACAGAATAATAGAAACCTATAAGTGGTTTAAATAGGTGAGTTAGAGAAATTTATTTATTTTTTGTATTTTAAGGAAGGGTCTACAGGGTGTTCAAGTTCTCACTGCTAGATCAGACTCTTAATGATTCGCCTGTTTACAGCCTCCCAAGAGCTGGGATTAGAGGTGCATGCCACCATGACCAGTCTCAACTGCCGTCTCAGTGTGCCCCAGGGATGGGGCCAACACAGCAGTCAGAGGGATCGAACTCCAGCCCCTGCACCTGAGAAATTTAGAATTAGAATTACAATATTTAGAATTTAAAAAATACTTTGAGAGTTAACTCAGTAGCATAAGTGCCTGCCTGGCAAGCACAAGGTCCTGAGTTCAATCCCTGGTAAAACAAACAAACAAAACCTTTGGAATACAAATTATATGTATACTTATAGGGGCCAGGGAGATGGCTCAGTAGAGTAAGTGCTTGCCTGGCAAATGAAAGGGCCTGAGTCAATCCCTGGTTCTGAAAAAAAAGAACAAAAATTATATGTAAATTATATGTATACTTGAAATGACAGAGATAACAATCAAGTAATATTGCCATATATTACTTTATTGTTACCAATTGTTCTCTACAAGAGCAGTACTATGGTTACAAAAATGCCCAAGTGTGATCAGGAGCCAGAATTGGTTTCTAAACTGTTTTTCTTGGTCCTCAATGCATGACATGAAGACTAAAAGTGAGAATGGTTATTGAGAACCGTTTAGGGTAGGTGGACATTAATTTTACCTGTTGACTCTAACAATAACAAAATAGAGGTTATAGTTGATATGTCATTTGTATTTCTTCCCCTTTCCCCAGAAACTTTTTTTTTTTAAAGAAGATAGGCTCCACATAGACAAGGGGAAAGATCTGGTTCTTTATTACAGGTATCTTGAAAGATATATCCCAATGAAACATTTCAAGAATTTGGGAAATACTTTGAGTTATAGTAATTTGGGGGAGTACAAATAATTTAGTTGAGCAAGGGCTAGTGACACTAGACATACTGAATAAATGGAATGAAACTGGGTAACAACTACCCAACATTTGGAATGATTTTTAAAAGTTCTGCCCAACATTTGGAATGATTTTTAAAAGTTCTTCTGGATTCCATAAACTATAAAATGCAATTGTATAGTGGTGATTTAATGTAAAGTGATACTGAAATATAATATGTTAGGACAAAAGCCAAGTAATTATTAGGAGGCTTATTAAGGAGAGGGGAGCTAATACTGAATACATATGTGTTTTTTATATTATTTTGTAATTTACTTAATATCTTCTCAACAAATTGTAACATTTTAACTGTGTATTTCTTGGTAGAAGGTAGAACTGTGGTCATTGAGAAGCCATAGAAAGCCTTTAGAAATATGTGTTAATAGTCTAAAAACCACATATTACTAAATTGCTATACATAAATAAAATGCACTGATCAACTTGAATTTGAAAAAAAAATAAATGTTTGGGAATATTTCCTGGCATTGTAAGGCTTTATGTTTGTAATATTTCTAACTACTTTAGCATAATGAGAAAGTTCTATGCTATAAAAATTACATACTAACATTATTTTGGGATGGTTTGTTGTTTTTTGGTTTTACTCCAATAGTACCCTCAAAAGCCTACTTTCACATTTTATTACATATTTCTAATTTAATATCACAATATGATTCCTTATTTATTTAAAGTTCTAGTCAAGTTCTTTTCAAGTTCCAGAGATAGCATGTGCCATGATACGTTGTAGGGTTCAAGAAAGGAGGTATATTTTCTATATTTTATTACTAGGTCATCCTCTGTCATAGCACAGGAAATTATTTTCTTCATAGGAAATTAGATTATCAGCCTCATTTGGTAACATCATTTGAAACCTATAATTTATTTTGGAATGTTATCTCTACTAATATTATCTCATGATAAGGATGACTAGCATTTCCCTTATTGTTTACATCTTTGAATGTAGCTATTCCAAGGCATATATACAAAATATATTGTATTAAGAATGTATTTCCATTTTTATGTCACATCTATGTTTTTTATATTAATTTTATTGAGAAAGAAGTAGCAATGAGAGTTCCAAAACAGGTCAGTAGGACATTTACAATAATTAATATGTTGCATATTGTTGTCTTTGTAGTAATTATTCATAGTACAAAATGCAGACATGATATCTTGTCTAAACAATATTAGTTCAAAACTTTCCTCTCATTGAACTAAGAGAAAGTATCTGTGTACCTATACTAACTGTTTTGTACATACAGATACATTTTTTTCACTACAAAATGGTCCTTCATTTATATCCCCCTTTTTGTTCAGAGAAGGGTATTCCACTGCCATTCATGTATTATAGGTGCATGAATTCAGCAAAGTAATCCAATATAGTCTAGCAGTCTAGAACAGTAGTGGGTTATCCGCATGACTTGCAATGTCAGAAGTTGTTGACTTGAGCATTTTACTGCTCAGCATATTAATATGGCTTTACTTTTCATACCTCGTGTTTATACTTTTCTGCTGGATGGTTAAGACCAAGATAAAGCAAGACCTATATAACAAAAAATTTAACCTTTGTATCTGACAAAGTCAGTCAAATCCCCTCAGGATTTACCTTGAAACCCTGTACCATAGTTTGTAGATCCTTTGCCAGTGTCAGCCATGTGGATGAGTCACAGCCATTGCTCGATCTATTTGCTCTCTGTGAAAGCCTGAGAGAATGTTTTCTCTTCAGGTGACTCTCCTTAGGTACAGTCTACATCGTCAATCACTTTCCTTTGTGGGCCCATAATCTCCTTGATCAGAAAATTTGGCATACCACTGAGTTACAGGATGTTACAGTACAAGTTCTCTTATGTACATGTATGTTTTTAATTTATTCATGGAGGTGGATGTATTAATTTAGAATACACACCATAATGCAATAATCATGAGACTTCAAATTGCATCAACTCACAAAAAGTACAAGTTTATTTTTTCATCAAATGTGATCAAAGGTGGGCTATATGTCCAGGTTTGAAGGAGACATTGCCCCACAAGATGATCCACACTTGCAGATTCATTCTTTTGGGACTATCAATCGCTGAGGTGTGACTTTTATGATCAGAAGTTGATTACATCATAACATTCACACTCTTGGCTGTGAAGGATATTAAAGTAGAAAAGAAATTCAAACAATTAGCTAAGGGAAACTGCACATATCACTTCCCCTGCTTTCCACTGACCAACGTTTATCAGTATATGGCTGCACTCAATGGCAAGAAGAAGACAGGAAGTGCAGCTTCAGGCTGAGCCAGAGGAAGGGGCCTTTTATTGCTTAAAGGATAAAAGGGAGCTTAAATAATTGGTTTCACTTAGTGGTCTAAAGGTTTCATTTCAAGATAGGAATAGGAAAGGGACCCAGTGGTGCTGAAAATGCTAACATGCTGTCTAATGCATACTAGCTATCGATGTGGTCCGCAAGTGGGGTACAGGTATTATCATCATTGTTCTTACAAGGAAAGTGCCACTATCTCATTTTTAAATGATGACAGAGAAGTTTCAAAACCACAATAGGAATTTATTCTAATGATTTGATTCGTTTCCTGTAACTATTCTTTAGTCACTGACCACTTAATTATCACTCATTTAAACTTAAATAACTTTGAACTTCATAGTAATAAAGAGGCAGTTTGAACTATTTACCTGTATAACACTTGTAGATTACAAAACATTCCCAAAACACTATCTTTCATTTCATACTCTTGGGTTGAAGGAATATCAGACATTATTATCATCTTAAAAGAAGGTTATTTATGGTGTGAGAAGTTAAGGAATTTGTCCATAGCTTCACAATGTTCTTTGGGTATTTTACTTCATTTTAATTAGTTTCTCTTAATTATAAAGTACATGACTGTGCTTAGACTAATAGATATAGACCTGATCCTGATTTTAACTTTCTGTATGATATATAACAGCAGATTTATTTCATTAGTCCTATAATGATGGACATGTAGATATTTTCAAGTTATTTTTTGCAGTTTGTTGCTGGGACAAGCAATGCTTTAATAACATGTTTGTGCATTTATCTGCAACTATTGGTACTATTATTTCTGTGGGATAGATTCCCAAAGAGGATTGCTAGATCCAATCTGATCTGTTACCATAGTGCATCATTTGAATCACAAGAGGACCTTGAGGAGATGTTAAAATTACGTATGATAGGTTTAGGTTGTCTCTCTTCTCTCTAACATCCCACAGACTAAAATAGAATAGCTCAGTAAGCAATTTCAAAATATTGAAGGACTGTGAAAACCAGAGTTAATATCTACAATAGATATCTGAGATGGTTGCACCTCCAAAGAAAGAATAAAGCAATAGTGTAGTGGGAGGACAGTTGGGGAAGTTAATGGTGCTGCCTGTTAGACTTTTGAAATATATT